CCAACCTTGAACTCCAAGATTTACTGGCCCTTCTGACAGTCTATGACATAATAATGTCCACACTCACTACAACTCAAAGGCATTAATTCTTCTTCAGTCTTCCTTAATCACTGTCCAACCATAATTTATATATGCATATAAAGCAAGTGAAAAAATATTATAGCTACGGTGAGGGGCATCTTTGTATTTAAATGGGCATCCTTGCTTTTTAGCTCTTTTCTCTATCACTATGTTGCCAGTGATGAGAATCTGTGGCTGAGGGAATCCCAGAGCACTTAATTGTGCTCATGTGGCACCTATACCTAGACCAGGATTCTGTTGTATAGTAGAGTAGGGGTACATTGCATGGTTTAAAATTGAGAAGGGAGTGCATCAAGGTTGTATTCTCTCTCCATACCTATTCAATCTGCATGGGAAGCAAATTATCTGAGAAGTTACACTCTATGAAGAGGAGTGTGTGGCATCAGGACTGGAGGACAGTCATCAAAAACCTGCAATATGCAGATAACACAACATTGCTGGCTTAAAGTGAGGAGGGCTTGATGTACTTGTTACAGATCAAAGAATCAGGGAATGCAGGCCGTTAATTTGGATTGCATTTCAATGTCAAGAAGACAGATTCTTATCACTGGATAGAGAGAAGACTGAAACTGTAACAGAATCATCTTGTGTGGATCCACAATTCATACAAATCAGGAGACAAGGAGACGCTTTGTACTGGGAAAATCTGCAGTTAGGAACCTTTTGAAATTATTGAGGAGTAATTGACGTCAGTGTGAGGACTAAGGCGTGTCAGATTCAGGCCATGGTCTTTCCAATTATTTGCGATGTATCTGAGAGCTGGACAATGAATAAAGATGACAGAAAAAGACACATATTTTGGTTATGTTTCTAGAAGGGACTAGTCCTTGGAGAGGGACCTAATGGTGGGAAGGGTGGGGCTTTGGCAAAGGAAATGAAGCCCCTCAACCAGTTGGACTGACAGTGACGGTTGCAATGGTCTCGTGTGTCAGGATGTGTGAGAATGGCACAGGACAGAAGAGGGTTTAGACCTTTTTTAGGGTCACTATGAGTTGTACTCAACTCGCCAACAACAGTAAGTGGTAAGAACGAATCTAATCAGTATGGCTTGGCAATTATGGTTTATTCTAACTCATTCTAACTTCAAGTGCACAAGTCGGTCATGGGAATATGGCTGATAAGTCACTCAGTGACTCATTATCCTAGGACACTGTTACTGTCTTAACCCACCTGGTTGAGGATCTTCCTCTCTTTTGCTGACCTTCCACCTTTCCAAGTATTATGACCCTCTCCAAGGAATAGCCTCTCCTAGCAGCATGCTCGAAGTGAGACAAAGTTTTATCATCTTTGTCTCCAAGAAGCACCTGGCTGTACCTTCTCTAAGGCATACCTGTTTGTTCTTTTGGCAGTCCATTCAGTACCTATATTACATCAGGATTGAAAGAAAACTCATCAGTAGCCTGTATTTATATGGATGACACAAACTTGCTAAAAGTGAAGATTTGAAGCACTTACTAAAGAAGATCAAAGATTCAATAGAGTGTTCACTATAGACTGTTGGTGGTGTGTGCCATCGAGTCAGAACCAACCCATAGCTGACCCTCCAGCGGATTTTCAGAGGCGACTGCACATAGGAGACTGCACATCCTTCTCCTGCAGAGCAGTCAGTGGATTTGAATCACATGCCTTTTGGGACAGCAGCTCATCCTGAATCAGTGAGACATGTAACATCTTGCCTCAGATACATGGTTTCTATTTCAAAAGGTAAATTAATTCTACGTAAGAATGATAACAACTAGTGCTTATTTTAGAGAGGTAGATGATGGTCATTAAATCAAACAATATCCTATTATGAATCCAAATGTCAGCTGATTGCTTTTAAAATGTTCATTAGTATACTCTTTAGATATATAATTACAAATAAAGTTAAAGCTCTCTTTGACATTCCAATAGTCAAGATCAGTTTATGTGTATCATTACTTTTCCCCCTATGTACTTCCAGACATAAAAGTACTGCCTAGGGAGCAGAAAAGGGGACACAGGACACAGGGCCATGTGAGTGTGTCTCTGAAAGTGTCAAAGGGAGTGAGAACAGCACAGCCCCTCACTGCTCCAGAGCAGAAAGCAAAGAGCCCATAGCCCAGCCCCACGGTGCCTCCAAAGCCATAGGAGCTGCAAGAAGTTTGTTTATTCATTGTTGACTCACAGCTGTGGTACTAAGAATGAGGTTTATTAAGGAATTAGGTTGGAGGGTGGGAAAGGCAAAACATATTACTCAATGCAAATTCAGGGTTTCGCCTAGCAGTCCTAAGGGACAATGCCTCAATTAGTTCAGGCTTCTATTTTAGTTCAGCAACACAAATTCAAGAAACCACTGGTTTCCAGTAAGCTTCAGTCATCCAGCAAGGTTTGCCTCAAAGCAGTTCAAAAAAGTCAGCTTCTCCTTCAAGCATCAGCAAGAACAGTAAAATCTTTTAATGTGGCCAGCACAAGTGCAAGAATCCTCAGGTCACACCTTGCTACAGTGTCTCCATCACCATTACCAGGGTCTCACCACCAGGATCCTGCTTCAGTCTCCCTCAAATCTTGCTGTTGTTCCAAGTCTAGCATCTAGGTGCCGTTAAGGTAAGCGAGAGACCGAAGAGTGATCACACCGTTCAGAAGATGTTCAGTATTATATGCCAACACATATATGCACGTTTTAGCATGGGCTCTATGAGATAAAGACCTGGTGATGCACTCCTGCAAAGATTACATATAAGAAGACCCTGTGGGAAGTTCTACTTCAACACATGGGGTTATGTTGTTGTTAGGTGCCACCGAGTCAACTACAACTTACAGCGACTCTATGAACAATGGGTCTGAGTCTTGCTCTAATTTATCCTATGACATCCTTACCACATTTGTTTGATATACATAAGCCCACTATTATAAGTCACTGTGTTAATCCTGCAGATGAATCAACATAACCTAACAAGAGGTATGATGAAGGGAAAAATCTTTGTAAGAATCCAGGATTTACAGATTTTCCTTAATACACACAATTTAAAAAAAAAAACACTCCAAAAACTTCTTTAAAAATAAAGATCTGAAACATAAATTGGAAGGAGACATTTATCACCTTACTCACACCCAGAAAATGGATTTAAAATAAAAAATCAAACAAAATATACTGTCAAAGAACACTGTGAAAGAAAAAATTTTGATCATTTTTATGATGTATATCTAGAAATAAAGGTCTTAAACAATTACATAAATAAGAGAATGCTAAATCATTGAGAATTTTTATAGGTATAGTCAACTTTAAGGAAATAGCAATATCTAACAATAGGTCTAAATATGAGACAAATATTGCTACATGATTGATATGCTTTCTCCAAGCAGGAAAAAGAAACCCAGACTAGTAAAAACTTACAGTAGAACCCAATAAATAGCAGTTAAGATAAAATTACTTTATTAGCATTCTGGGCCATGGATTCACTGCTTTATTAGAACATCTTATTAGAAAAACAATTGAAAAAGCAAACTGCTGTAAAAGTTATCAACCTTCTTATATTTCAATTACCAGAAATGAATTAATTTTGAAGGCAATTTTATGTACACACACTATAAGAAGTTTAAAATACTTTGATGCATTTTAATAGACTGTCTTTATCAAATCTTATTTGCAGCCTCAGTCAATCCAGTATTGTGAGTTTTTCAACCTGCCTCTGGGTTGTCTTTTCTCACTAATCATTTAGGTATTAACTCTGGAAAATAAAAAAACCCAAACATTTTATTGGTGCAAATGGATTGTGGTCAACAAGCACTGAAAAGGATCACAGGCTGAAGCTGCCCAGTAGGACTTTGTGAAGAAGGTCTGGCTATCTGCTCTGTCCAGATTATAATAGCTGAGAATATCTTAGAGAGTTCAGGTCTTCTCTGTCACATGTCGAGCTGTCAGAACTTGGAATATATTGGATGACAACAGGGTTCATTTCTTTTTTTTCTTTTTAATAATATGCAAATAAAATAAAAACCATTTTGAAAGTAAATTTGATGTTAATAAAAGAATAATAATGGATTCCAAAACTAAATCCAAGTTAGTTTTGATAGCCCCATATCTTGGAATAGCTTATCTTTCTTATTATAGGAAGAGATAATCAAAATAACCAAGATTTGACTATAGAAAAGAAATCATAGCTCATGCTAGAAAATAATTTACCTCATCCTTCACTTGGTTTTTATTTATGTTGTTAAAATGCTTTATAATTTTCTTTTTTAAAAAGTCTGTATTTATGGTGGCCTAGTGGCAAGAAGCTGTACTACAATCCCAGAGGTGTGCGGTTCGAATTCACCAGATGCTCTGCTGCAGAAAGAGGGACAATCTCCTCCTGTACCAGTCAGATCCAATTTGACAGTACACACACAGAAAATAATAATTTTAAAAAAGTCTATATTTAGCTAAGAATTAATGAACCAATCTTTATGCAAAAAAAGATAATGAATATAAATAATTTAATGCACTTAGCATAATCTGATTATTAAAGCTTTCAAAATTTGAAAATCTAGTAATTGTTAGAATTGCAAAAGTCTCATTATATATTCAAATAAAAAACTTCCTGAAGATTCTTTGTTAATGAATAAAAGATTTCTTAAGAAAGGGATTTAACAACAAAATGAGTACATTTAAAATGTCTTTATTCACTTATATGGTAAATACTGCTTTCTACTGAAAAACAATGGCATTTGTTTTTCAAATTGTCAAGTTTAGCTAAAAAATTCATTTCTCTTTTCTATATCATGTATTGACATGATAATGTAGGATAAATCAATTTAATAGACATTATTAAATAATCAGACACATATGTAGAACCTTGGAGACACAGTTCAAATGATAAACAGACATTAAGCATAGGCACAAAGCTATCTTGTGTACGATGTGATTTACAGATGTGTTTGCACTAATGTCTGGTAACTAATTTCCTTTCTGTGACTTTTTAAATACCCAGTTCCAAATCTTCCAGTTCTTGAAGGAGGGCTTTCTCCTTTTGAATTTTCTCCAACTAGAAAAATTCAAAACAAAGCAGTCATTAAATAAGAAATTATATAACTCAATTATTTGGATCTACAGGCAAAATAAGGAAGGGAAAAACTGTATTTCTGACATCTTAGTCCACAGTGAGTTTTAGTGCTAACCAAAGGTGATTCCTTTCTGGTGGTTTGTATATAGTGGTCCCTCAGGAGAAAGAAGGCAATCTCTTCCCACAAAATCTACAGCCTTGGAACATCTGCTGGAGGGTCAACTATGAGTTGGTTCTGACACAACAGCAGTGAGTTTGAGGAGGTTTTTCTTTGCAACACATACTATTGGGCTGTTAAGTTCCATTGAATCAAGTAAAACTTAAAGCAACCCTATGAATAACAGATCTGAGCCCTGTCCTGTCCTGCGTCATTCTCATCATTCAGTACATATTTAAGTCACAGAATATTGTTATGTGCCACTGCGTATGAGTCTTCTGAACCCTGTCCTGTCCTGTAGCATCCTCATCAGCCCCAACACAACTGCGTCCACGGCTACAGACACTGCACTGATCCATCTCACTGGGGGTCTTCCTCTCCTTAAAATGAAATTCTCAACTGTCATCTGGTCTGAATCAAAGAAGCCAAACAGTCTTACTGCATTGCTTTGAGTGTAATAAATTTTCCATTTGGGCTAAAAAAGATGCGTAGGAAAGGAGAAAGGGACAACTAAAGCAGGGCATGTGGAGATATGGAAAGGAAGAGAAGCTTACATTCCTTCCACAGAGGAAAGTGCCACTGTTCACAGCAGTAATAGCGTTAGGATGTGACAACTTTCTCATTTCTCTGGGACCTACACCATCTCACCCTCTTATTTCTTTGTAAAAATCTTAAAAGGAATATGATAGTTCTTCAAAACAAGTTTTAAAATCTCACTACTCTGTTACATGACCAAACAACTGTTCACAACAAAAAGAGATGAAAAAAAGTGATTAAGAGTTCAAATAAAAAAGGGAGAAAATAACCTGATTTTTTTCCAGTTGCTTCCCAGCTGCTGCTTGTTCTTTCAGTTGTTCAATTGCTTTCAGTTTCTGTAAGTATCAAAGATGAGTTAAGAAAGAAGCTAAAGTGTAAATTTCTTTATTAACAACTTAAAATTGCATGAATGTGTCACCTGAATAAGGACATTCAGTTATCTTACCTTTGTAGTAAGAAGGGTCTGTTAAATTGCAAGCATAATCTTTAAAGTTAAATTCAAAACCAAAATTTTACATACAAAGGATTAAAAAATATTTTTCAAGTTTTTAATCGGCAATATATATGTGTGCATCTGTTATGTACTATTTTGCCATCTGACACTGTACATTTATGACAAGGGCAAAATAAAATTATGATATGATTACTCAGCTTATTAACAATGTGTCTTTGGCAATAATGAAAAGAGAAACAAGGCAAGAGTAACACAGGCCATACTGTACAAGGTTAGGTTTCATCTGGGCTGAGTGGCAGTTATGTTATTGTTAGTTGCCCATTATTAAGTCGACCACAACTCACAGCACCTTTATAAACAGTAGCTCAAAACCTTGCTCTTTTCTATGTCATTCTCACACTCACTCTAACAGTCACTATATCTTTCCGTCTTGTTGAGAGTATTCATCTCTTCTGCTCTTTTTATAGAATCCTATGAAATGATGTACCTTGGTAGTTACGTAAAGGCATAACCATCTTCCATTTTGTGATCTACTATGCCTTCCTGCATGTTCACATAATGCTGATTGATACTTAATGACCCATCTTTGGAAACCAATCATTCCAACAAGCAAGGAGTATGTGTATGAAATATATTAGTGACCAATTTCATGATTTATTTCAGCAAATCATCATAATCATATTTGAATGAAGTCTCTAGTTTTGAGGAAAATAGCTTGCCTCCGGAAATTCTATGAACTTGGAGAAACGATGAAAGTTATACAAGCGTTCAGGTCTTTCGTTCA